GGTGCAGGTTTGGACAACATTAGGAGATGTCATGGGTGAGGTGCATGCCAAACAACCAGGGAAAAGGAGGCTGGGCCCAGCTGGACCCCTACACTGGCCAGGCACAGGGCCTGACTCTGCATCTTGTGGGAACACAGCTAGACTCTGGTCCTTGGGAGGTGGGATACAGTTCCCAAAAGGGGCAGGGACTGGGGGCTGCACATCTGGGTGCTCTAGTAGGCAGGAGCTGGCTTTTGGATTTCTCGGGAACACTGGGGGAACCAGCTACCCAAAGTGCTAAGGGCCAGAAAGTGGTATCCTGTGAACCACTCAGACAAGAGAGGAGAGGTGGGAGATGGGGTGAGGTCCTTAACAAGGCAGGTGCTGAAGGACTGGGGCAAATGCCCAGGGAGGAGTGCAAAGTGGCGTCAGGCTCCTCGGGAAGTGCAGAGGGCCAGGCCCAGCATCTAGGGCAGGGGGAAGCTGTCTCTGTACAGGACCAGTGCAGCTGGAACAATGGAGACTCTGAAATCAAGCTTGGGGAAAATGTGACCCCACCCGCACTCCCAGGTGCCTCATAGACTCCCAGCCCTGGGACAAGCCCTCATCTAGATTCAGAGCAGGAGGCTGGGACGGTGGAGCCCAGAAAGGCTCTAAGGTCCCAGATCTGAGTGAGCTCCTCATTAGGGCTGCCGGCTCAGGAAAGGGAGAGCGCGGGACATTTCAGCACCAAGTTGTTCCTCCTTCCTACCATTCGGGAATCTAGATTTCTGGCCCCTCCAATGGCCGGGCATCTGGTTCTGCCCTGTCCTGCCTCTTTATCTACTTCCTCAGCACCCTGTACCCCAACCCCATCTGTTCCCCAATCTGACCTGGTGACTTAGGACCACTGGAGAATGTGGGGGCTCTGATTCTCAGACACCGAGACCTAGGATGGCAGAAATTATTAGAAAGCCCTCAGAAATCCAAGCATAGGGTCCTCCCATCCCGAGTTTCAAAGAGAACTCAGACATCTGCTTTCCTGATCCCATGTGGATTCTTACCCACTTCCAGCCCTAGACATCCCCATGCTGTTCCTTAGCACACTT